CCAGGTCAACAACGCAGTCGCTAATATAAATAAAAATTAGTAACGGCCCAATGACTGAGCGCTGGGGAACATCATTTAAAACGTGGGTAGGAGTTGACTTTGAGGCATCAACGCACACGGTTTACAATCTCTCTGTAAGAAAATCTGCGCTCCATGTCAGCAACTTTCCTCTGATCCCGATTTCAGACAGTTGGTAGATTAGGCGTTCGTGTAAGGCGCTGTCAAACACCACCTTGAAGTCTGTGTAGATTGCATCGACCATACCATCCTTCTCAAATGCTCGAGTTCATTTTGCACTCCAAGGCAATAAACTGGAAAAGCACGAGGGGTTCTGTCTGAAGCCGTGCTGCAGCGCTGAGAAAGAGTATTTCTGCTCTAGGAACCCTATTATTGCTTTCTTAAGCATGACTTCCACTATCTGACAGCAGATGAAGGTGAGACTGACAGGCCGGTAATTGTGCGAGTCCCACCCTTGTATGTCGGGTAGATATTTGCTGTTTTCTCTTTAGATGACAGCCTCCTTAACTCGAATGTCGAACGGAAGATGTGTGCTAATAGTTTGGAGAGTTCGTTGGCCAATTCCTTCAAGAATTTGGCTGGCATATTGTCCGTACCCGACGACTTCGCATCTTTGAGATTTTGTAGCTCCGTTTCCACGAGGGATATCGGAAAGGGTATGAATGCAAGCACGCGACCAGCGGTCCTGATAGTATTGTTGACATTACGACTCCCAAGTCCGTTTTTCTGGCGTAAACCGAGGCAAAGTACCCTTCGCAAGTGTTCGGCTGTCTCCTGTTTTCAACAATTTCTACATCATTGTCATCCTTCCATACTGCGACCGGGTCCTTGTTTTCAGTCTACTGATAATAGAGTAAAATAAAATCTTGGGGCTTCTGTTCAACCTGTCGGACAATTTTGAATTCATACTCATTCCATGCCTGACGGCTGCATTTTTTGACTGCATTCCGCTGACGACGAAATTTTTCGAGTTGCACTGGTACCTAGTTCCCGTGAATATCCTCCATCTTCTACTTTTCTTTTGTAAATGTTTCTTCAGGTCCTTAGTTAATAAGGCAGGCCGACTAGTCGCTTCCTGCAGGAATGTAGTATTTAATGCCTAATTACTGATGATTGTGTAGTGACGAGCAATCAGTGAGCTGGGAAAAGGAAACGACAGCGAGTAGCTTCCCATGCAGAGATTCAGGTACAGTCTGAAATATCCGTTGCACCACGCAGAATTTTGCCGAACGCTGAACTTAACAAGGTCAAATATCCTCAGATGGCGAATAGAACATAAAACAAGGATCATGGAACGCACCGTAGATAAACCAAAAGTATCCTTCAGTTACACCAAACTCAAGTTGAAAAATAAGCAGATGGTCCCAGTGTTAAAAAGAGAAAACGTTTGTGGACATTACTGAAAGTGACCAGGCAGAACAAGTAAGTAGTTCTTCGCATCTCGTTTCTCCAGTAAAACGGGTTTCAAACAAATAACTTCCTCATTGTGGGTAATGAAGCAGCTATAAAAACCATCGGTGCCACAACATCTGTTTGTGAAAAGTTTTTGAATTTGAGTAAGTCAAAGTTACAGGGTCCAGATGACATACCCTCCAAACTGCCGAAAGTGCTCGCTGACGAACTGGCCAAACCGCTTTCAACGCTTTTCTAAGCCCCATTCAAGCGGGGCGTCCCCTCACCAATTTGGAATCCTCGCGGATTTCACCAGAAAATAATAGCGGCAACAAGATCTACGCAAACGGTTGTAGACCTACAAGCCTCATCCCAATCTGCTTCAAAATCATAGAAAAAACACTTAACCAGGAGCTGATACGTGTCCTACTGTAGCATAATTTAATCGGTTTGTCGATGCAAGGTTTGGGTTTCTTGTGCCACTAGCAAGACTGAATTAAGTCCATATCTATGTCACGTCGGCGAATTGACAGCCTCACTGTACAATTCCCTGTGCAGTCCTTTGAAATATTTTTGCATTTTGAGTGCGCCATTCCGGCCGAAAGACCTTGAACGCCGAAGGCAAAATGTGAAAAGGTCTCTAAAATGATGAAGAATTAAAGCCCTTTGATACAGGAAGCCGCATGCTAAACCTTAACCTTTATCATTTGGATTATAGACAAATGAGCGTATACCCCCATCAAGCACCTCTCATTTTTATCTAATTGGATTGCAACCCAGCGTCTGAGGACGTCTCTGAATATGCCGCCACAAACAACCTCTGAATTTACCCCTTACAAATTGCGCCAATATCCAAGGCTAGGCGTGAAGGAGTTTTCCTTTACTATCAGGGAGGTCAAATCACGGACTTTCGGAGCACTGTGTCTGATGGTCTCCAAAGTATGTAGAATGACCGTGTTTATCCTCCGAATCTTTAAAATCAGCGATATGAGGACGGGCCTTTATATCATATACGCTAGATCTGGCCTGAATTCCTGTTCGTTTTTTAGCCTTATGCGTACTTCTGGGCGCAAGAAAATAGAATCCGTCCAACATATTTTTACCAAGAGAGTTTTGACCCCGGAGCACTGGAATTTGTCGTACCAAGGGCGTTGTCGGCTTGCAGGTCTTGATCCCTTGTGATTTCATACATTACAAAAGGGAAATTTTACTGTTTAAACTTTACAATAATCGTACGTTCAATCCGCCCACTAATTTAAAACATCTGTTCACCCCAACGTAACTGTCACAGTGAGGTCTTTTTATTTCGTCCTCCGGCACGTACAGTTAAATTTGTCGGTTCTTTTCTGTTAACACAATTGTTATTTGGAATAAAGGGCCCAGGAGTTCAAACATTCTGCAAAATTATTTTTTTTGTTTCAGAGAACGATTACTCGTTTTTCGCATTGAATCTAACGTAGCGATGGCGCTCGTGGTCTCTGAGATGTATGGCCGGACTCGCCAGGAGCAATTTCTTCAGCCAGCAGCATTAACTGTTCCTCAGTGCTTTTGTTCGGTTCGGTCCCAACCTCATGAAAAAAATGACAGCTGAAAATATCCGATGCAGTGCTATCCCTCCCTTTCTTGACTGTCGTCATTTCATGATTAGTTGTTTTTCTTTCTCCTGAACACTCCAAACTATACAAAACACCATCCTCTTTATTTCCATATCAGCAGTTTTTCACTGCTGGATGGATTTGCACTTAATCTTTCTCTCACAATACCTATAAATTGACATTGAATACAATTCGTATTACTATATTTCCAGTAGGTATTGGGATTTCTCCATCGACGGAGGGCTTCCAAAATAACCCTGACAGGTATATGTCGCGAAACGTGCTTCGGCGATGGGAAATTAAAATTTTCCCCAGAGTCTCCTTCACTTTCTTGTGGATTACTCGATCGATGTCAGCGCACTTACTTCCTATGTGCAGAGTCCTGCGTGATACGATGTGAGCAAAGTGCTTAAAGGCTCAGTGAAGTAAACTGAACTACTCATCTCTGAGTAAAATGAAGTTAGATTGGATGCTCTGTCTTCTGTGTTTGCGCATATTTCAGTGTAACTACTGCGCTGCCTATTATTTGCATGTCCACTGACGGAAAACTGGACATGAACTGCAGAAAATAATTAGCTTAAGGGGGTTCCTTTGGTCAAAAAGAGCTACAGTTAACGAAATAAATCAATGCTAAATAGTCTTCCCTGAGGCAGGACACCGGGACTGCAGACGATACTTTACGTGGAATGTTCCACAAGTCTTCTTTATCGATATGCTCAAATGCGGTTTCACCTGGTTAACAGTCTTTGAACATTGTGACCATGATTTGTGAGAGGAGGCAATTAGAACGTCCAAGGCCTTCCGTGCCTCAACATTTAAAAGAGGCTGTTCTGCGAGAACGCATGGGAAAGGGTCATCTTCTTTGTTATACCTTTTTCTACAGAGTCCTAGGACACGTACACTTACCAGCACTAAATTTCAGATGCCAGCTAGCGGACCAGCTGCTAAGTTGGCTCAGTCTTTCCCGGAGTACGTGAATAGCTCACTCAGCCCTGATAACCATTCATGGCTTAACATAGGGAATAAACATGATGGTACTTTAACCCAGGTAATCGATACAGTTGTTGGTGTAGACCAGGAAGATTAATGAACCGATCCTGAGGGGAACTACTTGAAATAGCGATAGCTCTTGACTTCGTGGGACCAACATATACAGTTTGCAACTTTCTTATAAGGAACTTTGCCGTCCGAGATGGTAGATTGCTTATATTCCGCCTTCGGAAATCTGAATTAGACTGAAGGCCTTCTTGTGATCAATGTTAATGATATCAGCACCACTCCCTCCGCAGCGCACGAGTGCACTGCCCACCCGAAATCACAATTTTGACTGAAACCGTGTTGGCTACGCAGCAATAAGCTCTGATCCTCCAGGAACTTCACGGTCGAGGTGCTTTCTGTTTCGTTGCGTATTGGCTAGGTTGTCTTAGGTCATGTCTACATTTGGCTGGTATCCATTTGTAAGGCATCTGCATTCGGTCGTGCAATCCCCCTCATCTACCTCGTTTTTGCCTCAATTCACTTCTTTTTTATTTGGCGGCTAAAGTTCTCGGTAACTTTTAAAATGTTCGGCGTGTACTCCTCCCAGGAATCACGCTCTAAAAATATGTACACTATATACATTTTTGGTAGCCTCGACGTTTTGCATGTAATTAGGTTATTTGCCTAAATAATGACAGAAAGGCACTTTAGTGTTTAATAGGTGGCTGATTCGAAACAGAGACCCAGAATATCCATAGAACACGAAGCTATTTTAGCTATTTTGTGGGTTCACTAAAAGTTGAAGTAAACCGTAAGCAAAAGCTGTGGAAAGCATATCTTAGGGACAAGACAACTGAATCAAGAAATAGGTATAAGGCTCAGCGGAATAGGGTAAAGTGCCTTGTTTACAAAGCCCGCCAAGACTTCGAGGGTAACCTTTTAAACTGTGCAGGAGAAAACCCAAAGCTTTTCTTCAACTACATAAGACAAAGTACTCGCAACAGGGATCCCATCCCTATGCTAAAAACTGATGATGGCGTTGAACTTTACAAGGACGACGAAAAGGCTGAACATCTGTCCAGGTTCTTTCAGTCGGTGTTTACGAGAGAAGTCGCTGTACCCACTGATAACTGTAATGTGGACAATGTCCCGACAATTGACTCAGTGGTTCTCACAAAACCTATTGTTCAACAGGAATTACTGAAGCTAAAAGAAGGGACTTCGCCCGGTCCTGACGAAATACCCGCAAAGTTGCTGAAGGAATTAGCCACAGAATTGGCAGAACCTCTGAGCGTCCTCTTTCAAGCCTCTCTTGATGCAGGCAGACTGCCTCATGAGTGGAAGACTGCGTGGATTTCACCGATTCATAAAAATGCCAGTCGCGCTTCCGCAAACAACTACCGACCAGTAAGCCTCACCTCCATATGCTGCAAAGTTATGGAGCAAATAATCAAACGCGAACTGATGCGGTTTTTAGAGCAAAATCATCTTCTGTGCGATGCACAGCACGGTTTCCGCAGAGGGAGGTCCTGCTTAACCAATCTACTCTACTGTCTTGAACAGTGGACCCGAGCGATTGATGAAGGAAACGTTGTGCATGTGGCCTACATAGACTTCAAGAAGGCATTTGACAGCGTGCCACACCAACGTCTCCTACACAAGCTCAGCCGCATAGGGGTAAGAGGCAAGCTTTTGAAGTGGATTGAAAACTTTTTGGTCGGTCGGTCCCAGACTGTTCGTCTTGGTGGCCAGCACTCGGCAGAGGTGACGGTTACGAGCGGAGTACCTCAGGGCTCCATTCTTGGCCCTATCCTCTTCCTCATCTATATTGATGACTGTATCCATGGATTGGACTGCAGGATTGCCATGTTTGCTGACGATATAAAGCTTTGGACCGTCATCCGCAACGAGGACGATGAAGCAAATTTACAGGCAAACTTAGACCGACTCGAAAAATGGTCAGGCCACTGGCTCCTCCCATTTAATGTTACCAAATGCAGCATTCTGAGGATTGGCAGAACCAGCTCTGCGCACCGGCAGACGTACTATCTAAATCACACACCGCTGCCACTGGTAGAGGTTCAGAAAGACCTAGGGGTGTGGATAACATCTTCACTAAAGCCATCATTCCACTGCTTGAAAGCAGCGAAATCCGCAATGTCCAGCTTATATTTCATCAAGCGGGCATTTGCCAAGTTCGATGAAGAGTGCTTCCGCAAGGTCTTCGGGATGTTTGTGCGCCCACAGTTAGAATTTGCCATTCAGGCCTGGAGACCCTGGACTGTTAAGGATCGTACCACCCTCGAAAAAGTCCAACGACGGGCAACCAAGCTTGTCTGAGGTCATAAAAACCTACCTTACGAAACCAGACTTTCAAATCTTAACCTCTTTCCCCTGGACTACAGACAACTCCGTGGCGACTTAATTCAGACGTTTAGAATGTTACGGGTTCGGGACTGCTGCCTCGCATCCGGCGACTTCTTTGAGCTGGCCACCACTACTAGCTTGAGAGGACACCCTCTGAAACTACGTGTGACAGGAGCGAGACTGGACGCAAGTAGGTCCTACTTCAGCCACAGAGTGGTAAAGGCATGGAACGCCCTACCTGTGGATGTCGTCCTGTCCTCATCCGTGGACTCATTTAAGAGAAAGCTTGACCAGTACAGGGATATGTACCTCCACAGCATCAGAAACTAACGAACCCCCCCCCTCATGTGCCACCCGTCCCATCCAACGTTTTATGTTACAAAGCATGCTACTCCCAATATTTTAGTAACATTACGTTTTACAATTTTCGCTATCTCCTGACCGCCACATATGCGCTTGCTTTGATATTACTTGGTCCATTCATTGCCGTACTGGATCTTGTACAATCTTGACACAGAAGGCATTCACAGACAAATTCATACCAGTGACCAATGCTTGTTGTATGTAATTACTTACCTAATTTTTTTCACACTTGCCTTACACATTGTTTTTTTTATGACGTTATTGTAACCAAAAGGGAGTTCAAAGGCGTTCGCCTACTTTTCCCTTAATAAATCTGATCTGATCTGATCTGGGTATAGAAAGCCGTGGTTTCGACTACGAATAACCCGTTGGTCATACGGTTGGTGGTGTTGGCACATTCGGTAACGAACTTACCCACGTCTTTTTAGTGTGTCATCACTTATGTTTTGTACTTTATTCATCTTATCGTTTACCTTATGTTTTACCCCATAGTCCTGTAATACTTTGGTTTCAGTATTGGCGAAAATGAGATTTCCAGGTGTCTTATCAAAATGGAAGGGCCGTTCACAGGATTAAGTTTGACTTTTAACGTTTCGAGCAGCGATTTTGCTTACCCATCTTCAAAGCAGTCGCACAATGCCCCTTCATAGATTGGATCCCCGTTTCTCCGTGATCTGTGTAGCTCCCTCCATCGTTGACTGCGGCAATAATTAGCGGCTTCGATTGTTTCGCTTAGTTACTTCCTGCTACCAAGAACGTTCGTAAGGCTTGACAAGGGGAGGAGACTTGGTGTGGAAATTGGTTCGACTGTCGGTGGGCTTCTAGACTTATCGCGCCTGCCTTGATTTGTGATTATCGCCCTGGCTCATACTTTCAACGGCGCTGAAGTTGGAGAAATGTCCCTTGTGCGCGGCATAAGTTGATCCCACCGCCCTTAGCTCCAGCGTTCCCTCGGCCAACCAATAGTCGTGCATTCGTGTTGGCAGCTGTCGACTGGTTTCTCCAAGATAATACCACATGGAAGTCAGTAGACAACGAGCGACTTACGGTTAGGGTCTTTCAGCCGTATCGCTTGCGGACGGAGTTTTTAGTCAGGTTTGTAAGCAACTTTTATTCTGAGCAGTACGAGGGATGTAACTGCGGCTTCTGAGACCCCTTCATACACAAAGTGCTCCGCCGTCACTTCGTCTAACTGCGCCCCTTTATTCCGTGTCATTTGTGACGTTTGACTACTCTCGGCGACTGCTCGTGGATAGCCGTCAGCACTGAAGTGTTCTCGAAGTAGCTTTATCTCATTCCGTTAGGTGACCTGCGTGCTACAATGAGTTTCCGCCCACCCACATGGCGTCCGTACACAGCTTCGTTAGTATTGCAGTAGGTAGTTGCTGTTGTAACTGATCATTTGCCGCGTATTCACCTGCCTCCGGTAGACTGTAGTCGCCAGATGGTCGTCTGATTGATTACCGACGAGAACACCCAAGAAGAAAAGTCTGTTCTCTTCTTTCCTGAATTGTAGATTGGGTTGACCGAGTTTAGTCGACATTGGCGGCCTACACATAAATAAAAATGCGTCATATAATGAGGGCTGTGCGCATGAGTCCAATTTCCGACGATTGGTAGGCGAAATCACTACTCAAAGTGTCCGAACCCAAACCTCTTCCGATGAACACCTCTTCCTTTGATACTTTCGTTTGTTTTCTCTATCTCATTGCTAATGAAGTCACACCCGGCTACATAACCACACTTTATTCCACCTACTATCCCACCCGAACTCTCCCTTTCCGAGATATCTGCTGATCGCTTAGATTCTTAAAATGGGTTAAATGGACCCTTATATCCTAGTGGAGGCTTATTACATTCCACGGGTGTGAGGTGCTACTGGATTTCAGCCTTCTCGGATTACTCTGCCCCCATCAGGTGCGACTGACCTACACAATTCGAGCCGAATATGTATGTCTGGGGTTTTTCCGATACAATCTGGCCTATTTCGTTTGTTCCCTACACTTTATTTGCGTAAGTTGTTTGTTCTTTCGTGAATGGGCAGTTGAATGGTGGGAACACATGCTTCTGACACTTGACATGGCTCGCCCGGATAAAATAGTGAAGATCTGCAGCTCCAGCTATTCAAATAATTTTACGTCGGATATTCAAGTTGAGCGACCCTGAATTAGCCGTTTTGAAGACTGCAGATCATGTCGCCGGCGGTGTCTTTATGTAAATAAGATGAGGAATTTATAATGCGTGTGCCCGAATAGCGCCGTTGTCTGTGCCAGAAGAGCTATTATTTTACAGTCCAAAAAGCGGTCCAAATGAACTTTCGTCGCAGATGTTTTTGGGAAAAAGTCCGAAGCTCGACGCTTAATGAAGAAGTATGGCATGTGGGAGTCCGCAGACACCTGGATCATACGACAAAATTCTGTAGAATCTGCAAACCAACTTTACGACCGTTTGGCTTGGAGATGACGTGAATGGAGGAAGGCTAGGATTGGAATGGTATGTTTGATAGTGAGTAGCAGCAGACGAAAACCGAACGCCCTCAATGGCAAGGCTATGTCAGCCTGATATCTATTAGCCGCCCCAGGTCGATATACGGATATTTACTAGGTGCCAACTCCGGCCACGGCATCGATATAAAGTCGGTGTCGAACTGAGAAAACAGCGAAATCAGACCCCAGACATTTACTTCCACTCCCTTCCTTAAGTGTACAGCCCGCGCACTTTGGAAGGCTTTAAAAACCTAGTGTAACCTTTGCCGCCCACGTTATAGCCTTCACCCGTACCACATTCATTTGAGAAGCTCCTGATGTGGTTAATGTGACACATTTGCCCTCACATGATAATGATGAACGTTTGCGAATACTCAAACTTTTATTTAAAAATACAAATAATCGTATATAATACTTGATGGCTATCATAGAAAAGTCGATCTGTCGTGATCTTCGTGGTCTGTAAAATGCGACTGAGTCAGTTAACTCTTTTATTGGTCCCGCCTGTTGTTCTAGAGGTTAACAGTAAAAAGAATGGAAGAGAACATGGATCTACCGTCCAAGGAAATTGTCCTAGAAGGCCTGTGCAGGCGCTTTCCACAGGCGTTTTGTAAAGGCCGACTCGAGAACCCTTACATCTATCGGCAGTGGACTACTCCACTTCGTATATACGTCTACTTATAATGAAATCAGGTTCGAAATCAGCATCCTACCTGTTATAACCTCGTAGACAGCGGAGCCACTGAGGCTTTCCTTCATTTTGCGATCCTTGAAGTTGACGTGTTCTGTGATGTCATCGTCGAAGATGGCGTAAAATATTTTTCGTACAAAGTCATCAACATTCCGCCCCCCAAGACAGAGGAACTAAGAAGTCTAATGGGAGTAGTAAGTATACCGTGGTAGCCTACCGGCTGTTTCCGAACCTCCATGTCACAAAGTCGTACATTTAACTGCTGCAGGTCGATTCTTGTGCGCACAGGCGTACTAATTGGATTCCGTAGCAGTTCGATAGAAGACTGCGTAGTGACGGCTGGCGTACGCTCTGCAGCAGTTTCCAGCGCGCGTATGCACGAAAGGATGTCTCTGACTTCGTAATACCCGAAAACGGTAATCCTAATATGAAGTGAAAGCCGCCTATATTGTGCGATTTTCGAAGACTCCAATCCACCTAAAGGTCAACCGTTTTCAGATTTAAGCAGTCATTTGTGTCGGCAGCTTCGAAAGAACGTAGTGTCGGCGGATGCCCACTTTCGTTGGCCTTTGAGCACAGACTCCTAACCCGCAACCCCACCATTTTATTTGCTACGCCTAACAGGGTTAAAGACCAAAAATCTAAACATTCCAACCCTGTGGTTGTCGTTTGCTGAGTTCCAAAATTCATCGTCCTTTTTCGTGCTGTCATTCGCGTACACTCCCACCGACAGCTCGACCGTCGTTTTTAACGATGTCCACCGCATGGTAAGCGCGGGGACGGTGACTTGCGCTGCATCCACCTCGGTCCTCCTCACCTTGGCCCTAATGTCAAGATAGATCCAAGAAGACCGGAGGCTAGGTCGGGCGCAGGTAGCCGACGCGGCGCGAGCCTGCAACCAGGCGTGCCACATCCTCCCATTTGTGGCATTTGTTACGGGTACGCAGCTCAACAACGTGTACCATACTCTGATTTGGTCTCTGTTTTGGTCCAATAAAAAAACCCGCGTGGTCCGTTGTAGGGGGCAAACTCTCCCGCTACTGCGCACCACTCGTACCCATGATAAGCGCTCACATTATAGTCGCTTTGTGAAAGCTCTGGCCGAGGTGTCGTATGTCACAGCGCCAGCACGAAATACAGCAGGTGGGCGTGTTTGCACTGCAGTCTACATTCCGCAATTATCTAGGTTCGTCTATAGGAGACTTACAGAGCCTGCTCACATCTAATGGCTTTCCTCAATCCAGTAGATTTCTGCGTGGAATGTGTCGCTTATGGACGGCTTCGTTAGGGTCTTGCGTCTTCCGAAAAACTGGCAAACCGTTAATCAAGTTTCCTACTACTTCCTCGTCGAGCAGTTCCTTTTCTTGATTCTTGAATCGAACGTGGGCGTATTTGCCGCCGTCTATACGCACGACCTGTGAGAAGCACGATCACCCAGCAGTGTTCACGGATCCGCTGGCATGTTCCAGCAGATGTCGCTAGTGAGGATGCACAATACTTATTACAAGGGTCATTCGCGCCGGTTCCTCCGAACCCCCATGTTTGGTGGCTATCTCACCTCGAAACAGAATCTCCCTCTGTCCGAATGGCGCTTGCGCATGCATCAGGAGTTCCAGTTTCAATTCCATAATCTGCATCTGAAAGTCACGATTTGCCCACCCTACCTTCGCCGACATCCTCCAACAACATACTGCTACCTGGCACCTCGGAAGAAATTTCTTTAAATAGATGCTGCTTGTGATCCTCCTCATCAATTATACGACAAATTTCGTCTACATCCGCACTTATGCGCCTTTGAAGAGCACGTTTGAATTCCTGCTTAAGCTCAGGCTTAGGGAAATTGAAGGGCAAACAGAATTAATAACGTTAAGAGGAATTTCCCGATAGAGGTTACGCATGCCAAGGCAAAGACTAAAAATAGTGACCGCTTGCGCGAACACGCAGCGCAAGTAACATACACCAACCATTCAGGGCGCCAAAACACGGTTGACCAATGAGAAGCCACGGCTAAATCACCTCGAAATGTCGAAATAAAGGTACATCGGCGAGATATCGACTGGAGTCGGAGACCGAGGCGCACACACAAGGTAAGCTGCAATAAAATACGACGCGTTATACAGAATCAAAAGACTGAATCAGACGAGGGCTGAGGGGGACATCGGTCAGGACATAGGACCAAAGCAACAGTTTTCTCTAGTATAAGCGCCATCGGTGTTTATAAAACCCAAAAAGAGTGTGTTTCAGTCTGCAAGTAGCTGGGAGCTTCCAGGGAGTGGGACATACTGAGAGGAGAGAGGGGATAATTCTTCCAAAATGAAGTGCTACGACAGCCTCGATGGGTTCGTAACTTGCTGCGGAGACGAAGTGTCTAATTACTTCAAAAGAAGGTTTCTCGGGCTTAATTCGTGTATTTTAGGGAGTACTTTGTCCCAAAGGACGTGATTGGCATGTGATCGACCCTACATTGGGATGAAAAGTTAGACTTTTCAGGACCTTTTTACCCTACAGACTTCAAACAGAATAAGCCGGCCTTCTTTTGGCAATGAGCGTTTTCCGAAACTGTACCCTTACTAACGGTGTATTTGGATCACGACAATGGTTGGTATTGTAAGTGCAACGAAACAACGGGACATGAAGCTTTGTTCAATGAACTTTTGGGGACGTCGCCTAAAAAGAAATAGTTATTTAGGTCGCCTAGCAGCGGCCTGCAAACATTGCTTCGACAGCTCCAAGTTAATTACACAGAAAACTGGGCAATCTAGTCCTTAGAGGCTGTGCGTGGACGAAATTTTAAGTAAAAATCCGCTTTACTCGGTGAAATGACGATTTGCTTGCAGTTAGTAGGAAGTCCATTTGGACAATTATTGCGAATCTGTCCGCGTGTCCTCCAGCTTTTTATCATCACCAAGTAAAAGGGCTATGGACACAAATAACCTAGGTGAACTGTCAAGGCACCAACCCTTGACAAATACCACTATGAGCGGACTGTTTAAATGGCTTGACGTCCCGAACACGCACGGGCAGTCCCATGTGAATGATGACTCCTAGTTCGACTATGCATATTATCCAGCTAGGTCTAATTCCAGAGGTTCTCTCATTTGCAGGCGTTAACTTATCGCGTGGGAATCTGCATTGAGGTCAAGTCGTCGGTTTCAGCATCTGTAGCACTGTGTCCTACCAAGGATTTATACCGTACTCGAAAGGTCAGAAATACTATTTTTACTAAAAAAACTGTTTCGACTCTGATTTGTGCTAGTTCGGCCTCGATGTTGTCGCTGACCCTACGGCTTTGTGCATGACGATATAGGACGGCGGATATAGAGAGCTCAATCAACTCCCTTCTCCAGCGACAAAGGCTAAATACTGAGGGTTCAAAAACCACCTTGATGAGAAACAGATCCAGATCACCTTGGTTGCATTTCTTCGATGGCCTGGGATACTCTCACTTCATCTGAAAAATAGGTCTGGAGTGGCAGTGCTCAAACACCTCCAGTTTTCGCCCATCTTTCACGCGCACAGCTCTATTTGCAGGAGGGCTGACCGGACCGATACGTGTTGCAGGGGATTCTTTGGATGATACAGGTGTTGTGACGGGACCATGAAACTCTCAAAGGCATGTGAGAGTTTCGCGGTCCCGTCCTTGATCTGTCTATTTAGTGGCGACTTCGCACCGAAATATTTAAAACTAACTCCCTCGAGTTGGCGGTCAGGAAGCTTGGAGAGTTCATTTTTCAAATCAGAACTGTAAAACCTCAACTTTCCCAGCATTGGTGGATAAACCGACTGGCTTGGCGACATAATTCATCCCTGACACTACATTTCGTTCGTTGTCATAGCCCGGAGCCAGGGAGACGATAATGCCAGCGCCGACCTCCGCATTCAAATCCGCGTAGGACCCTCCCAGGAATCCAACCAGCAACTCACTTAAACAGGGTTGTTTCTAGGATTTTGTTGACATGGCGGCGGTTTGCCACTAGTCACCTTGGGTATTTGTCTGACAAATGTGACCACTGAAGTTTGTCTGTGGTAGCGAAAATGCGGTACCCAGGTGACGTCAAAAGAGGCAGAGGAATTAACTGGAAGACGTTTATTTTGAACCTGACGTCTCGATTAGTGTGACTTAGGCTACCCGTTTTCGGAGACTGGAGATTCCTGTTCACAGCTGTCATTGTCTGGTGCATTTTGCCCGATTCACAGGTCGCTAACGGCGACTGTGGTGGTGGTGGTGGTGGTGGTGGTGGTGGTGGTGGTGGTGGTGGTGGATCGAGTTCCCATTTCACTGTGATCTGTACCGTTGCTGACCTTGTTGACTGCGGCGATAACTTGCAGCCCTGAGCGCTCCTGGATGTGGCCCGGGCACAGAAATTCGGTTTCGTTTTACGACCCGAGCCGATGGAGAAGGCAGCAACTATTGGTCATTAGTGAAGAAAATTCTTGGATTTGTCCGGCGGTGCCCAGGTGGTTGGGTCAGCGGAAGAACCCTACAGTTGCCTCCGCAGATGACTCCCGCCAGGTCACACAACTATGATTCCTTCCGCAAACTCCGGAAAATGAGGTCAAAGTCGGCTAGGGATGATCGGTAGAAATATTCGGCTGAAACAGCGACCACCATGGGGCAGGCCTCAAACATTGGTGCCACTTGAAAACTCTGCCATTAGCCTTCTGCACTAAGTGACTGATGGCTTTGTTGCTGATAACTCGGCCAAGGTTGATCACCGGCGTGATCACTTTGAGAACCTTCTCAACATTGATGATCAACCCATCACACCCTCGCTTTCCTCTGCAAGGGAGTGTCGCTTCGCCAATCTGATTTTAATTCAGACTATACTGCAACGTCAAATTGGCGAACACGTGTTTTCAGTAACTCTTCATCAGGCCAAAACGGTTACAATTAAGTTTAAGTTATGCGAATTACTTGACTTATAAATGATTCGGGACAATTAACATCGATCTTTCCCACGCCACTCGCATGACGAGGCGTGCTATGGCGTGGTCGGCGTGTCGTGGTCATTGGGTTCAGGGGGCGAGGAAGAGGGCGGCATAGGCTGTGAGTACGTCGGGTGCCTTGTGCACACACCCTGGCATCAGGAGGTTGGGGCGACGTTGGGGTCGGCGTCGGCCACGGAAGACAGAGCGCCAGTGTCAGAGTCTTCTGACAGCATAGCACTGGATTGGCTAGCCGTATAGCCACTGCCTCAGCTGTAGCTAGCACCCGTTGGCGTAGGCCTTTGGAGAAGCCTGCTGGTGTCCGGTAGACAATCTGAAAGGCTTCTTTGGCATCGACTCGGTGATTCGTATCGACAAGATGTGCGAGAATAGAACTCGAGATCGATTTCTTCTCACCTTTGCCTAACCAGGCCGGTATGTGTTCACGTACTCTCTTTTCCAAGCGCCTCGTTGTACGGCCAATGTATCCCGCTCCACAGGAGCAAGTGAATGAATAAATACACATCGATGTGGCCTGCAACGGAAGTCGGTCTTTACCTCCCAAGCGTAGGAGGGGAGAGTTAGTGAAACACACACGTAAGTTCGCCGCGGGGAAAGCGCTACTGATCGCTCTCTTCAGACGTCTTTTTACTAGTTCTCTTGCTGCGTCCCCTTGAAAAGACAATCTTATAAATAAGTCCTTCTTTTCTGCAGTTGCCATGGTAGGCTTTGCAGTGCGCTCCCCTATATTTCGAAGGATAAATCTTTCTGGGTATCTGTTTTCGTGGAGTGTATCCCGCAGCTGCTGGAGTTCTGCCTCCACAGTCTCAGCAGAGCAGATACGGCCGTCGCTGACACTTGATCGTTCTTACAACCGACTTCATGATGACTTCATTCTATACTCCCACGGCCGTTTGTTAGCAGTGGTATCAATGGAGAAGGTCTCAAACGTTGACGACGCTCGAAAACTATCCCATCGATACTTAGTGAGTTCGCTCGCCATGCGAATGGCGGCTTTATTGCCGACAACTTGCCCAAGGTCGGTCGCTAGCGTGGGCACTTCGGATGCCTTCGCAACTTCTATGAGCGACGCCTCACATCCTTGCTGTCCTCTGCAGCGGAGTTTTATCCCTCTCCAGCCTACGCAGTGTCATGTGACCCCCCGTCTTCCTGAAGGAGAAGTCGCCGATACAGTGCGCAGGCTGTGCTACAACAAGGCGACTGGAGAGAGTGGTATTCTCACAGAATGCTACAAGTCGTATGTCGACACTGGCGCCCTGGCTCCACGAATTGATTGATCAGGCGTGGGGATATGAGGTTGTTCCTGATGACGGGGGGCTGGGGCATATTTGTGCCTGTCTTCAAGAAGTGAGGTTAGACAAGGCGCAAGAACTACCGCGGTATAAGCCTCATCGACTTTACCTCGAGTGCCTTCGTTGTTCTCCTTAGGATTCACTCTGTCCGTGAATACCGGACAAGACCTAAACAAGCCGGGTTCTGAGCTGGGTGTGGATGCGCGGACCAAATATTCACACTGAGGTGCATTTTGGAAGTCTGCCGATCGACGGGCATCCGCTGTGTTGAGTTCGATTCCGTCCATCGTGAGTCCTTGTGGCAGGTAATCGAACTAGATGGTGTGCCGGCAAAGATAATCGCCATGCCCAAGTTCTGGTCCATAGCAATCTGTCCCAACCATTCGATATCTGATCTAGCGTTCGGCAAGGTTGTGTCCTGTCGCCCATCCTATTCACCCACGCCATTGGCTGGATTCTCGGAAAGGCTCTACACAATTTTGACGATGTTGAATCTGCACCCGGGCGCCGACTCGCTGGTCTCGACTAAGCCGGCGATATCGCGTTGCAAGTCTCAATCTTTGGTGATGGATGAACGTAGTAGCGAAATCTCGGTTTATCCATAAACACTGGAAAGACCGAAGTGTTTTCAAGCTGCATCCCTGAGCAAATGGAGCTGTCGACTTGAAGAAGTAGAGTTTCAAATACCTCAGAGTGAGGCTCCTGCCCAGTGGGACGACATTGTCTTCCGAATCGGTGCCGCTCGCTGGGTTTCCGCAATCCTTAGAAAGTGTTTATGAACCCAACGCGACATCTCTATCGCCGAGAAATTCCACGTGTACCAGGCACCCGTCCGGTCAGTCCTCTAGGCTTGTGAATGCTGGACTGTGCGCGTGGACGATGAGCGAAGACTGGAGTTATTTTACCACCGCTGTCTGAAGACCATTTTTGAGTGAAACACTCCGACTTCGTCTCAAATGGAGCAGTTCGCACTCGCTGCAACATCGTTGCGATATGCCAGGCCATCCAAGAAGGACGACGAAGGTGGTTTGGGCATGTTCTCCGTCGTCCATCTCAGGAGCTCAGTGTTACTGTCATCGATCCGGCACCGTTACCCCATCGGAGACGCCAAAGAGCGTGTCAGCTCCAAACCTGGCTCGAAACAGTCTGTCAAAACATGGAAGTGGTTCTTGGACCTTCGTTATTTGGTCTCCGTCGCTGGAGAGAAAAATGGATCGAGCTGTCCGGATCCGCTGCCGCGGACCGCTACTCGTGGAGACGTGCGATCCGAGACATCATCGAGGTCGACTAAATCAAGCAGAATCACAGGTGTGCCAAGTGGCAGTTCGACCGTCAATTCCAGCTATGTTCACCGTGTGCTCCACAGCACGATGGGCGCAGTGACGGTGACTTGCGCGTGAATTAGTTTATGGTGGTAACAGACTTGCGCTGCGTCTACCGATTTCTCTCACCCCGTGTCAAGACAGTCAAGAAGACCAAAGGTGGGATCAGGCGCAGGTGGTTGGCGCGGTGGGGATCCGCACCTCGGCGTGCCACCACCTCCCTGGTCTAAGCACGAAGGACCTTGATTTCACACAACAAGAAGGCAAAGGGGCGACTCGAGCCCAAACGGAGTAGGAATGCCATAAAGGCCACGTTAAGAAGGAACCATGGCCGTTTGACTCAGTCCATCAGTCGACCACTCCACAAAAGCACACATTGGACCGTCTACAAGGTCTAATTTGAGTTGTTAGTTGGCAACCTTCGAAGCCGTGATAGTCTTGAACGCGTCAGATTGCTGATAGTGAGAAGAATTCGCTAAGTCGACGTCTTCCCCTATTCCCCTGCACCAGTCCATTGTTCGCGCAAGCCAACCGAGTACAAGTTCACACTATCATTGTCTCCTGCCAAATGGGTTCTTAAGATTAGATTGGTGGGAGGCAAGTTTGCGTGGCTGTCGACTGAGCAGTCGTGGGACATCTAGACTTCCGCTGTCTGCCGTGATGTGGGATCTTCGCCTCGGCCAACAATCCCAACATTATAAAAGTTGAATATGTGTTCCATCTGCGCGTCATGCGTTGCCACCTCCGACCTTGTGTCTGATCTTTGAATGACCAGCTGATGCCCATGCACTCGCCTTGGCCGGTTTCCCCGACGTAATTGCACCCAAAACATCTGATCCAAGGTAAACCTCCCCCAATGAACGCTCCCTTTTTGGCTGGAGCTCGTCTCCAGTCACTAGCTCTTGTAATGAACAATCAGCGGCAACGCGCCTAAAGGTTTCGGGTCTAATTATTTAATACAGTGCCTTCTGTCGCCAAATGTACATGATAGAGTCGTCAGAATAATTGGTGAGGAAGTACAAAGAAACACAGACAAGACCAAGGTAGATTAGGATGACCTTTTCGGGCATCTTAGTCGTCGTCAGCCAGCCACACTCAATCCCAGATCTGTATGACCGGAAATTCGAACCGGAGTTTCTTGGTCATCGATCGTTGAGTCCAGCGCTCCATTATGAACCACTGGCCTGTTATCCAATCAATTGTGATGGGGAATATTTAATATCGTTTGTGATCATTTCTGGCTTTTTGAATATCCCCGATCGCAGCCGACAGGACAGCGGGCCCATGGCTCAATGATAGAGCGTTGAACTTTGCTCTCAATGACCAAAGAATCATAGTTCGAATCCTAGATCATGAAAACCTGTGGTTGGGCATGGCTGGTTGGCCGTGGCTCATAAGCCAGCAACGATAATCTCAGTCTTCGTTGTTTTTGTCTGTGTTACTACTGATCGCCACACGACTGTCCGCGAGGGGTCTAAAATGAGCTACAAGGCACAACAGGACTGCTCTGTCCCGTGACTTGACTAGCTATCTGCCTTCTCACGATATTTATAAGGAATTCTTTGGAAAACTGGGCACATTGCTTCAGCGCACATTTCACCCTTATTGATCCAAGAGGGTCTGGAGATTTTTTCCCTGTCAGTCTTTCTCTCGGTTGCTCCACCTCTTTGTTTTGTACTTTGGGGGTTTGGAGGTTGTTATCCAAAATAGAGTTCAGTTGATTCAGTCGGACTCTGCCTTTCTCAGTATTTCAGCCGAGACAACAATGCTGACGGCACGCGACGATGTGGTTCTGACGCTCACGGAGGATGATGATGCTCTCCCCGGTCCGGCTGATGGCACACTGAGTCGGCGGGAATTGGCGCGCCGACGAAAGTTGGCTCTATTCGCCCACTTTGCCGTTCGCAGCCTGGCTCTCATAACGTATCTCTTCTGTTCTTGGTTCACTACCGCCTTCATCACTCCCGTGATCTGTATCCTCACCTTCTTCGCTGTGGATTTTTGGTTGGTAAAGAATGTCTCTGGCCGCCTGCTAGTTGGTCTGCGTTGGTGGAATCATGTGGATCCTACGACAGGCAAGAGTCAGTGGCTTTTTGAGTCAGCCGACACCGCCCCCGCTAGCGGACAGACGACAGAGCCAGTGCCGTTTGGCCGCAGTCGACAGGAGCTTGCTGCTCAGAGGGCGGCCACTCGGGCTTCTCGTCTCTTTTGGATTGGCCTCTTCGTCTTTCCCCTGATTTGGTTCCTCCTCCTACTCGCGGCCATCCTCTCGCTCAAGTTGGCCTGGGCCCTGGTGGCCCTCTGTGGCTGTTTTATGTGCTCACTCAACCTGTACGGCTACTTACGATGCCGGTTTCAGGGTAATAGCGGTGGTGATGCTGGCGGTGATGGAACTCGCGGCTCCATGCTGAGCATGTTGCGCGCCACTGTTACCCGCTCCGTCATTGCAGACCTGTGGGGCAGTGGCGGGACTACTGCCGCTGCGCCACCCGAACAGCCGAAACCTGGGGTATGAGCGTTGCCGTCTAGATTACATTATTTGCTTCATTTCTTTCCCTCCCTCCCTTCCCTCCCTCACTCACTCACTCACTCGAAACCCCCTTTTTATATGCGTGATTTTCATCCCGCTGCTCCTGTTTATCTGCACGAAGAATGACGCGTGTGTTACCTTTTTTGCATTCGCTCTCTTATTTATTTTAACATCGAGCTCTGTGTTCAGTTACCTAGAGAGAGAGAGGGAGAGGGAGAGAGAGAGAGAGAGAGAGAGAGAGAGAGGAAGAGGAAGAGGAGAGAGGAAGAGAAAAAGAGAGAGAAAGAGAGAGAGAGAGGGAGGGAGAGCTGGGTTCCCTGCGAGATCAGGACGGATTAGTTTCGAGATGCGTCAGGGCAGCTGTGAGAGCAAACGTGTTTCTTTGAACATCCCGTATGTCCGTAATGTTATTGTAGTTACTGAGGATTGTGGCCTGGAGGACTGATTATGACAATGACCGATGAATGCGCGCCAAAAGCCTTTCGCTCTAGTGGTCTTCCTTTGATAATAATAACCATATCCAGCAACGCATATGTACGCACACAACTGCAAATATACGTGCATATGTGTCGCGGGTCTTCCCGTGAGTCTATTTACTGTCCGATCCCATCTCCGGTCTTCGTGACACCGGGGCCAGGGAGGTCAGGGGAGAGAGAGAGTGCCGTAGGTGCTGCGCAAGTGCATTTTCACTATGAACTAATCCACTCGCAAGTCACCGTCCCTGCGCCAACCCCATTACGAGGACATCCTTAGCAACGATTGCCCAACTGTCATGAGTGCATCCGATTTCGGTAGAGGCGTTTTAACAGCGTCGTTAGTGTGGACTCATACACGGAGATCCATACCAGAGAAATAGGACGATACCTCCTTCCTTGTGAACGCCACAACTCTGGGAGCGGTGTTGACATCCGGCATACGGCTCACTCCCGTCCCGATGGTAGGACAAGAGTAAGGTCGAATGCTATGACAGATACGTCGAAAGTCTCACGCATATCGCACTTCCTGTTGGCCCCCGTTTAGATGCGAGCCAGGATTACCCCTCGGTTTGGGGTAACGAGTTGAATAAGAAAGCGCATTTTTAGACAAAGGCCAGAAAAACTGCCAGTGAGCCATGGCGCTGCGGTGAGACCAGCCCTATGAACGGGGCGATACATCGAAGTGCAAGACTGAAGGCAGTCTCCTCCGTCTTCTCACAGGCCCTTTGGTAATAAAGCGTGACCGGTCCTCTGATCAGGCCCCATAGATGCTCAGCGACGGATTGTGAAGGCAGAGTCAGAAGTTGAAGGCCAATTTTCTCCGCTCTAACCTGCGAGGAGGGAGTAGTCTATTTTTCACGAATACCCACTAGGTCTGATGGATAGTAGAGAGAGACCTAGCCAATAGAAGCGAAGAGACGAGTCCCAGCAAGCAGTCTTGAAGAAGGAGACACGATCGCTGGGACAAGAGCTTTATTAGCCTGACGTTTCGGATTCCTGCCTGAATCCATCATCAGAGACAAAAGCAGATGCGGATGGTTCATGCACAAAGGGCTGCAGTTTTTATAGGATGCAGTCGTCATGCTACCGCATACCTTGCATACTCAGTGCTGAGACTTCGCCTAGGCGGAGTAATTAGCCACGCTGGGAGCGCACGGGTGAACACTTTTCCCAACACCAGGGTCGGTGCGTCAGATGGTCGAGCAATCATCACACCAACATCCCACGCACGTGATGAGATTGCAGCAATTAACGACGCAAATGTCGGCCATCAAACAGTCACCACACAACGTGCAACGATCACTGATAAAAGGGGGAGCCGTTAACATTCGTAGGTATGCGGTAGCGTAGCGACTGCATCCTATAAATACTGCAGCCCCTAGTGCATGAACCACCCGTATCCGCTTTTGTCTCTGGTGATGGGTTCGAGCCGGAATCCGGAACGTCAGGCTAATAACGCTCTTGTCTCAGCGATCGTGCCTCCTTCTTCAGTAGAGAGATCTGCCAAAGGCCAGGGGACGCAGGCAAGGCCGATCCTTCTGGAGTCTTCTGTGGTCGTCAGTGTAGGCGACCCCTTTTGAGCCGTCTAACCATCCCTTTGTTTGAGCGTGGGCTTTTCGAACTGCTATGATCGACAATTCGAAGGTTGCCAAATAAACGGCCAGGGAGACAGAATTGGCTCAAAGAAAAACTTTACTGCGGCGAGAGGGCGTGCGCGCAATTCAGCAGACAGTGTCAGAGAACCGTCTCCCCACGCGAGTGACAGCCGTCGAGGTCGCTATTAGGCCCTGCGTGGGGCAACTGCGTGCGCCTGGACTTTGCCCGCCTGCAGCCAATCAGCGGTGGATGCAGCACCGATTGACATCAGGGTCAAGTCACGCGCGGCTGAAGCAATCTATTGACAGGAGACGTCAGGCGGAACGGGCTGGCGGCCGCGCTGGCGATCGCCAAAGTGAACAATTTGTAGAAAAAATAAATACTGGACGGAAGGGTTAAATGTCGCAGACCGGACGGCCTGTCATGTTTATTACCACTGGGGGTTCCATTTTTTTCAAAGGACCCAACGTTCCCGATAAGTTATTTCTGAGGTGAAACTGTGAAAAGCTTATAGCTACGAAAACTGAGTCTTTATCTTGGGCTGACAGAGATTTTAAACAGGAAAAGCAGAGTAACATTGCTAGGGAGCACGATATGGTGATTTTTAGGGAGCATTAACAAATTCACCTAGCCTTCAAGGTCGACCAGGCCGAGGCCCTCGCGCTGGGTGCTAACCGCATTCGATGCCGGTGTTGTGTTCTTCTGGCCTGCGATACATCAGTAGGAATAACTACTTCTCCTTCCATCATCTAGTAATAAGAGTCAGTCTGAGCAGGACACCTAGTTATACGCGGGACGTTTGATTGTGGACACCGGCCTGTGGGACTGTATTGGCGATCCGGCTTGCCGGGTACCTATCACGCAATTTGTCAATGGCGGTCATAAGATCACAGCAGTTACTCACCTGGGCGTAAAACTCACTAATTACAGGACGGGTAATGCATCCGGGAGCCATTTTGATAGCTGCGTTGTTTGCTTTACGGCTGCAGCCTACGAGTGCATCCGTTGCGGTCTCCGAGGATGAAGTTGGGAACGCTGTGGCGGCTAGGGTTTTTGTTCCAGCCACTGAGTTTTTCTCACAAGGCGCGACCTAAAAATATGGGCGAATGTCAAGGCAACGCAGTTTATTATTACGGCGGCGTTTGGGTTTTCCGACACGTCAGAAATGAGGAAAGAAATACAGCCATCGATTTTCGACACGCGGACATTTCACCTGACGATATGACGGGAGTAATGCAGGGTTGAGTAGAGTGAGTTCGCTGTCATTTCACGATAATCTAGATCGGAATTGATTTCTCAAAATGTTCTGTCACTCTTGGTGCCTGACAACCAAACTGGCAGCATCAACTTGAAAAAAAATCGAATACGAGGGTACCCATAAGGTAGGACAGCAGCAGTATATCTTAAGGTGGGGTTTACTTGCAAGTGACATCAACGACCACAGGATTCCACAAAAGGCGCCGCCTCAAAACAGACTGGATTGATTCTTGACCGCTTGAGGGAAGACTGTTCTTAATGACCTTGATGAGAAGGCAGGAGTCCACCTCCATCCTTAAGGTGTTCAAATGCCGAGTTGTAGGCATATACGACGTATGTGGGGGAGCTCAGGTCATCCGTAGAAAATGGGTGGCGATGGGGGAAGAGGATAGTGCCAAGAGACCTCTGCCATAGTTTTGAGCAGAAGGGAACCTAATGCTTAGATCAGCGAAGGTAAAAACTTCGGAGTGACAATCTGAGAGGAAACTTTATTGGCCGGCGGGTTTTGCAAACAGCTGGGCCTAACTGTCCATCGTCAGGGTCTGTACAGCGCAAGAAACCGGGCCAAATTCCGAACGACCTCCCGAGGTGGTTTTCCCACAACTGTTGATAGGCCTCGACTTCGCTTTTTTCATCTCCACCCGGTTGATCCTGTCTGATACCTCGACTGACGGTGAAAATGATATATGACCGGAGAATACAGAGACTCTATTAGGAGTAGGGGAGGCGACTGGAAGTCACAAATTCGTCGACTGGGGTCGCATGGGGACCTCTGGTCATCCATGGTCTTGTCCTAGTTAACTTTACACCGAACTGCTTATCTTTATTTTCCCGACGATGCAGATACAAAATCTGCTGACCGGAGTTAGAAGCAACGATTGATAGACTTGGTGTCCGGGGGTCACGTTGGTCAAACTCTTTCAACGCAAGGTGGTGACATTCCAGAAGTCGGAAGCATGGCCAGTCTCCAGTGCATATTGCTAGTTAAAAGTGGCTACAGTCACCATGTTGAGTTCTTATTCGCGGTTCCCCGACGTAGTTCTAGTCGCCCTTGTTGCAGTAAGCTTCTTAAACAACTTCTGAAGTTCCAGCCAGCTACAGAGGGCCCTCCGGTTGCACTGTATAGTGACTAACTATAGCCCCGAGTCCATGGGACATGCCTTCTTAGAGGAGGGTTTCTGCGGTGGAGAAATTGCCTCAGAGTCTCTTGTTTTGGATAATGACTTCCAAGTTTGAGGCTACTGGTTACGCTGGCCCGGTTGGATAAATTGTCTCAGAGCTGTGGTTGCAGCCCCACTATTGGCGCGGAGTAGAACAAGGCGACCATCATACTGCTCTTGAGTCTCTGGACTGAGAAAGAAAAAACGCACCGCCTTTCCAAAGAGAGACCACCTGAAGGTCAAAAGCAGCAGGTAAAATCACACATCGCACACAAGTCTTGCAAAACGATTTTTAAGTTCTAGGTTCTATTTCCCATTTGGGTGACCGATTAAATCTACCACAGACGTAGCTGGTACTGAACGAAAGATGTCGTCCAGTCAAGATGAGTTCCTTGAATGTCCTGACCTTAAATTAAATTAGGGGTATTTCTAGCTTGCAAACGCATCTGCCGGCACCGTCGCTCCTCTGTCGCCTTTAATCTGGTAGACTATTTGA